TATATATATATATATATATATATATATATATATATATATATATATATATATACACACACACACACAACACTGGGATCCCCAGCTCCCAGTGTTGCACAACTCTGGATTAACACAACACAAGGACTTGAACCCTGGAACCCAATCACTTCCCCCCAGTCAGACTTGCCTCTATCTCCATCAGTAAGAGTGCCATTCAATAACACATTCATCAGTAACTGTTACCCACCATTCATCTATTCTGTTTCCAGTGTTCTCGCTCACCCGCACCACCAGGCTCCCGGACAAAGATGCACATTTGTTATTCATTGATTGTTCAGAAAAGTTAACATTTTCTCAATGACTCTTGGAAGTGCTCTGCATGTGGGTTAAAAGCATAGCAAAAAACATGATAAAAGCATAGTTTTCAAAAACAATTTAATTTATTAAAGAATTCAAAACAACCTGGTCATGCATGCAAATATCTGTTTGTGAAAGTTCTTCAATCAGATCATTGAAGAATTGGATCATTGAAAATCTTTTACCCTACATCATCAAACTCTACCTTGAGTCGGACCCACCACCAACCCTAGCACTTAAGGGATTTTCTGATTCTACAGGTCTGGCTATTACTGCCCCCAATTTTCACTGGGTACCCAGTGAAAATGAATAGAAAATGTGATCATTTGCATTTCATTCTTGATTTAACCATTTCTAAGCTTGATTTAGATGTTAATAAAGAAAATGTAATAATATATGGAAATTATTTGCTCAAAGTGTGAGTCTCTATAAATAGAGGTCTTCTACAAGGTAGCAAATACTTTTCACAAGAATGTGGTTCAAGTAAAAAAAAAAAACATGTTTTAAAAAATTTAATAAAAGGCAAATGACACATACAGACATATTACTTTGAGTTGCTGTATTAAAGCTCATCTTTGGATTTGTTTTTTTTTGCTTCCTCTGTCTTGAGAGTCTCCATGTACTTCCTCCTGTCTTCATCCTCCTGGAATAACAAGGAGTAAAAATCTCATTTTACCACAGAAAATATTTCAGTTTTCATACTCCTAAAAACTGCTGCACAATTTACCTTAACTCTGTCTCTTTTGGCCTTTCTCATTTCTTTATCCATAAACCTAACCAAGTCTTTTATGTTCCTTTTCCCAGTATAAACCACCACCTTGAAGTCACAGAAGAAATATTCCATGCTTTGTAATTTGTAAACAGGCAAAACAAAACAAAACAAAAAAAAAAAAAAACATTCAGATGACTTACTGCTGAGAATACTGCAATAAATGAACCAGCGAGTAATACATACCCTCTCAGCGTACAAAGCAGGAAACAGGCAGAGGGATGGGTAGGAACCCTGCATTGACATGTTGATATCATTGGCTGAGGCGTCGATTTGAGCAATGACCACATCTTCCCAATCCTTGACGGCTTCAGCCAGCTCCTCCCACAGTGGAAACACGGCACGAGACATTTCACTGTATGCCAGATCTGGGATCCAACAGACATAGGGAGCAACAGTCGTCAGCTATACACTACACTGAAGAGATAAAGAAAACCAAGGATTAACTCCTCACAACTATATTGCAAGCATTTAATCAACATGAAAGGGTGTTAATCTAGACCAAATCTCTCTCCAACCTGATTGAATAGTGGGATCACACTAGACACTGACGAAACACCAGTAAGACTTTTTGCCTGACCAGTTAAAGCAGCATGCTTATGACCCAATGTTTGGATCTAATGCTCCAAAAGTCAATTCACCGGGAACCAACCCCTGACAAATATTGTGCTGGTTGCTGGTATATAGTAATTTGACATGCAAGCTAGTCAGCACACAATTGTGTTTGCTAGGTTGGAACCATAAACTTTTATTGTCATTTTGAAGCCAAACAGTGGCGCAGTTGGTAGCACAGTTGGGTTTGATGCAGAAAGGCCCGGGGTCTTTCTGCATGGAGTTTGCATGTTCTCCCTGTGCATGCATAGTGGGTTCTCTCCAGGTACTCCGGTTTCCTCCCACAGTCCACAAACATGACTCTCAGGTTAATTGTTCTCTCTAAATTCTCCCTAAGTGTGAGTGTGTGTGCATGGTTGTGTGTCCTGTCTATCTCTGTGTTGCCGTGCAACAGACTGGCGACCTGTCCAGGGTGACCCCGCC